TATTTTTCATGAATTTTTTTAAATATTTTAAGTAAATTTTTTACTTTTTAAATGCACCTAACCTAGATGTAACTAAAAGTAAAATATTTTAAAATTTTAATAAATATACAAGAATACAAAAGTGTACTAAATTTTCGTATTCTTTTTGAATTTTTGGTATTTAGTGAATTTTTTAAAGATTTTTTTCATCAAATATTATACTTTTTAATTGTATTTATATTAAGTGTATCTAAAAAGTAAAAAAAAATTTGCTTCAAATATTAAAAAAATTCACTAAAAATAAAAAAAATAAAAAATTTAATTTTCAAAAAATTAGATTCAAAAAATTAGAACCAAACAAAGTGATTGAATGTGACAATTATGGCATAAGAATGGGTGACTATTTTTGAATAGAAGGATATTTTTGAAAAAAATAGAAAGTGTGACAGGATTTAAACCAATTCAGGATGTACTTTATATAATAAAAAGGAGGAATTACTATTAAGTGGAAATTGTATAAAATTATTACATAGTCATGAAAAAGTTTGCTATTTCAATTATCAATATTTATAAAGTTTACCATTTATTTCTAAATATTTTTCAAAACTCCCCATGTCCTGAAATTTTCCCTAATAAAAATAGATAGCATGTAGAGAATTTTTTTTTTTTTTTTTTTGGTGGTTTGTATTAAGTATCATCATTTAACACCAACGGTTTTGTATAATGATGTTAATGGTAAATTATTAATTTGTCCTTCAAATTCTATTTAGTTTCTATTTTGACCATTGGATTTTTATTTATTTTTATTCAATTCCTCTATTTATAATTAAGTTAATGTAGTCCAATCAATTAACAAAAATGAACAAAATATCATGTTATATCATGTGCTTCCTAATTAAGCTAATTTTACTGTTTAAAATAAAAAAAAATGATAAATCAAAGAAAAATTACGGTTAGAGAAAATCACCAATAGTTTTAGGTAATATTATTTACCCATTTAGGGCGTAATTTTATTTGAAATTCTTAGTTAGTTTTCTCTTTATATTCTTTAATTTCAACCCTAAAATTAACTCAACTAGCGAGTGCCTAGTGTACAAAAATTTGAGGGACTAATTAATATTTTTGTCTTGAAATATCAGTATAATAATGGTATAATGGCACTATAATTAATGGAACATATTGTTTATAGGTAGGTTTGGAATGTAACCAAAAGCACAACTTTCTTTCCACTATATCCACATCTTTTAAGAGCCAATAGCACTCCACATTATTTCAAAGATGTTATTAATTATATGCATTAACATACATCTACATTGAAAGATTGTGTGCAATGAATATTAGTTGCAAACCATTTTAGGTGTAATTCACAAGAAAGAAATTGAAATTATCTAGTGAAAAAAGAATGGGGTAGAAATGGAAGTTCAATAGTAAGTCAATAAATAAATAGATAGCATGTAGAGAAATTTTTTTTTTTTTTTGGTGGTTTGTATTAAGTATCATCATTTAACACCAACGGTTTTGTATAATGATGTTAATGGTAAATTATTATAATTTGTCCTTCAAATTCTATTTAGTTTCTATTTTGACCATTGGATTTTTATTTATTTTTATTCAAATCCTCTATTTATAATTAAGTTTGTTAATGTAAATGTAAATTACTACTACACACTCCACCAAACCTACCTCCACCACTCACTCCTCACCTACTCTCCCAAAACCTCCACCACTCACTCCTGCATTTTCATTCCACTGAATGCTTCCATGTTGACCCCGTAAACTGTCCTGCTACAACGGTCCAACATGACCCCATAAACTGTCTGCTACAACGGTCCGACATGACCCCGTAAACTGTCTTCTACATCGGTCTGACACGACCACACAGTGTCTGCTACAACGGTCCGACATGACCCCATAAACTGTCTGCTACATCGGTCTGACACGACCATACTGTGTCTCCTATCCTGTTTTATTTTTCAGTTTATTTTTCTGTTTTGTGACTCTCTCCAAACTCAAGTTGGCTAGTACCTATCCTCCTTGAGTTTGAGGGGGGCTGTTAATGTAAATGTAAATTACTACTACACACTCCACCAAACCTACCTCCACCACTCACTCCTCACCTACTCTCCCAAAACCTCTCCTATATAATACATCCTTGTAAAACATCAACACAACAATCTTGTACAATATCAATCAATAATAATACATCAGTTATTTTACAAAGTTAATGTAGTACAATCAATTAACAAAAATGAACAAAATATCATGTTATATCATGTGCTTCCTAATTAAGCTAATTTTACTGTTTGAAATAAAAAAAAATGATAAATCAAGGAAAAATTACGGCGAGAGAAAATCACTGATAGTTTTACGTAATATTATTTACTCATTTAGGGCGTAGTTTTATTTGAAATTCTTAGTTATTTTTCTCTTTATATTCTTTAATTTCAACCCTAAAATTAACTCAACTAGCGAGTGCCTAGTGTACAAAAATTTGAGGGACTAATTAATATTTTTGTCTTGAAATATCAGTATAATAATGGTATAATGGCACTATAATTAATGGAACATATTGTTTATAGGTAGGTTTGGAATGTAACCAAAAGCACAACTTTCTTTCCACTATATCCACATCTTTTAAGAGCCAATAGCACTCCACATTATTTCAAAGATGTTATTAATTATATGCATTAACATACATCTACATTGAAAGATTGTGTGCAATGAATATTAGTTGCAAACCATTTTAGGTGTAATTCACAAGAAAGAAATTGAAATTATCTAGTGAAAAAAGAATGGGGTAGAAATGGAAGTTCAATAGTAAGTCAATAAATTAAAGGAAGTGGAAAAAGATTTTGCTAGAAAAAAACAAAAGTTAGAAAATGACATTCAAGGTCGTTTGGCATGCAGAGATTTTAGTCAAAAAATTAAAAAGTCAAAATTTTCAATTCATACAAAAAAAAAGTCAAAAAATTATTTTCATTCCCATATTTTTTACACGTTTTTTTTTTTTTTTTTTCAGTTAAGAATTAGAAAATCACTACTCAAATGACTCTGAAAGTGATATATAAGTAATAGTGTTACAATAATAATAATTTTATGCCATATTTAATGTATGTAATTGGTGCTATCACTTATTTTAATACAGTGGTGATAACTCAAAAAGTATACTAAATATGATAAAAATTGATTTACACGTGTTAGCTTGATACCAATCAAGAAAATGTGGTAATTAGGCCAAATACTTTATAATAAGCCAATAAAACTAGACCATGTGATAACATGTCATCATGAATTTAAAAAAACCATGTTTGCCAAGTTGACATATGACGCCAATTTCTTGGTTCAAATAAAAAAGAAGATTACGCAAATCGAATAATCTTACATCATCTGTGGAAAATTGGCCCTAACTAGCTCTATCTTCCTTAATAAATTATAGGTGCTGGACTCTTTTTAATTCGTTATGCTCATTGGATGGTTTACTCCGGTCTATTTTGAACTAATTTTTATAATTTAAATTGTTTAATATATAAGATTCGTCGAATATTTTATCTCTCTAAAAAATTATATTGATCGAATATAACAAGTTACTTGATTATATTACATTTATATTCACAGTTTATTTTTAAAATCACACTTATCATTGACACAAATTTTTTTTTTTTGATCGGCAAAGTAAAAATTTCATTAACAACATGAAATTAAAGGTACAGGAAGATGGCATGCATCAAGACAGATTTGGAAAGTACAAATTATCCCTACTACTGCTACTCGCATCCATACACAAATTTTGATAGATCAAGTGACTATTGATATCTGATTAATATGATTTTTTTCAAAAAATTAGGTACTTAATGAGTTGTCCACATTGAGAATAATTCGGATTTTCAATGCGAACTCCATGGTGGACCCAAGCAAACAAAACAACAAGCTCCAATTTGATTGCGGACCAAAAAAAAGCCTCAGCCTGAATTATTGTAAAAGAATTTCCAATTTACTTTACAGATAACAATCAAATACGAAATTGTAGTCCTTTTGTTCCTGTCATATACTTAAAAAAGGCGTTTTTGTCCAATATATATACTGTTGGGTGTTTTGAAAATGAGAAGAAAAATTAGTTTGGAACCTGTCTTTTGGGAAATTTTTCTTAGAAATCTTTTTCTTTTATTTTATTTTATTTTTTTTATAGAAATAATTTAAATTGTTTCATAAATTTATAAATTATTTTTGCTTAAAAAATATATATAATATCAAACTAATGAGTTTTTTATTTTATTTTATTTTATTCTAAATTTCCAATATTACTGTTTTCAGAAGTACGAAAAAATAGAACAAATTTTTTTAGGTCTCTAGTATAGTAATAGTTTGCGTTACTTAATGACTTACCTAAACATTTTAGGTGTAGGTGTGAACTCGATTTAACTTGTTTATATTGCTCTTCATGACCAGGTTGGATCTCTATTCGAATTTCTTCTTATTCTTCTATATTAAGTCACTTTTTTATCACATGATAAATCAATTATCTTTTTATTTTTTTTACATAACAGTTCTATCTGTTCGACTTAATTATGTGGTAGATAAGAAGTACCTTTCTTACCACATGATAAGTCATTATATTTGGCTTAATTATGCGATCAGTAGAGAAAATTTGGATAGAAAATCTTCGTTGTTGATTGTTGATACGATCATATAGTTATAAAAAAGAAAATAGAAAAAGAAAGAGCAAAAAGCAGCACGATGGCATACCTTATAGGGGTTTGATGAGCAAATATATACACATCGATGCAAACAAGAGAAATCAATCATTATCACAGTGAGCTATATATATTATCATCAAAGCAACCTCTCATGTGGCTTTGGTGTCATTGAAAATGTATTGTCGAATTTTCAACTGTACAAATGAACAAGCCATGACCAAAAGTCTTCAAATTCACACATAGACATAATTTTAATTATTTATCGGCACGTATTAGGTTATGAACATTTTTAATACTAATATTATTTAATATATCATCTGATACTGGCTAGTAATATTCATTATTTAAAACTTTGTATATAACTGTGAAATTAACAGCACCACTACAAATGTACTAACCATATGTGTTCACTTTGCAACAAACTATAACAACTCACTCCATTAATTTTATATTTATCTAACATATATATAATTTTCATGTAATAATGTGAAAAAAAAAACCAAAAATATATATACCACTCACCTGAAATTTTCTGACATTGAGGAACAAATTTGAGTCTTCTAATCACGAATTTAAATAACAGTATCAAGACATGTATCGGTACTGACAGTATCGTCACATATTGGCTGATATCGAACTCAGCCCCATATATCAATATTGGACGTTGAAAATTCAGATATGCATCAACTGATATTGAAAACCCTGATCCTGATTGAAGCATTGCATATATGTATGTATATACACCTTATGCATCCATATATAAGATCTAACCAACACTACAAGTTCCAATTCATGCTAGGGAGATGAAAATGTTGGCTCAAGACCCCATCACCAAGTGAACCAACGTCAAGTGTATTGGGCTGAAAAGAACCACCACCACCACTTTGTGGAACAAGCTGATGGTTGAGCAAAGAAACAAAAGATGAGCCATTGTTTCCCTCCAACACCCTGGTGCTTGTGTTTTCGTGTTGATCACCATGGAACCGCTTCAATGCTGGCTCGTTGTTCCAGTACTGAGTTGGGACTGTCCGTTTCATCGGAGGACTTGTAGAGGCCATGGAGACATCTGGTTTTGTGTTTGGAGAGGTTAATTGTGAAATTTCACTGTTTTGCATGCCAACACCATTATTCAATATCCCTTGGAAGAAGTTCTCTTCATGTTCAAGCAATGCGCCATAATTACTAGCCCTTGAAGCTGCTAATTTTTGGTTGCTATTATGTCCATCTAATATTGTTGAATTGGATACAAGCATGTGATCTTCCCTCTCCTCCGTCGGTCTACTTGAGTTGTTTTTCTTGTAAATCCGACATAGAACCCAATCATCAAGCTATATATACAAAATCAAAATCAAAATCAAAATTTTAAAACTTTAAACATATGATAAGACTAATCATAAAGATTACTTAGACAAACAACAATGTTACGAAATTCAAAAAAAAAAAAAAAATGACAAGTGGTCTGAAAACGAAATGAAATTAGAAAGTTGAATTACGGATTTACCCTCAAAGAGACTTTTTTGGTTGTTGGGTCGGAGCCGGGAGGCTTGAAGGTGCTAGAATTGTTGTCGATGAGGCGGTATTCGTGCATGATCCAGTTGGTTTTGATCCCTTTGGGGGGTTTTCCACCATAGAAAACAAGTGCTTTTTTAACACCAACCTTCTGAGTTCCATTTGATGTCAATATCGGCTTATCGGTTCCAGTAGCTTTCCAGTACCCGGAGGTGGCTGCCCGGTTAGGCCTAGCACCGTTCGGGTACTTCCTATCTCTAGGACTGAAAAAATACCACTCTTGCTCGCCAAACGTCGCCTTACCTGACCCCAATAAAATAATAATAATAATAAAAAAAAATACCCATATCAATTGATAAATGATTAATTGTATGAATCTTATAAATTATAAGATTAATGAGTACAGAAATAAATAAGTTACTTGGTAGCTCCCATGGATCGAACTTGTAGAGATCAATCTCGGCGATGATGGTAACCGGCAAGGGGGCCAAGGAGGCCTTTTTTTTGAGGTAGTGAACGACGAGCTCCTCATCAGTGGGGTGGAATCGGAAACCAGGAGGGAGGTGCAGATGCTGCGATCCAGACGACGAATCGGTGCTCTCCATATGGATGCCTCTCAATAAAATTTGAATCAAATTTTTTTTTTGGCTCTAGAGTTGTTACATATAGATTTTAAAGTTGCTAGCTAAGATATGTTGATGAATGAACAATGTTGGACTTGGGTGATGAAAAGTTGTATGTTATAAACATGAGGCATGAAGTGGGGGAGAGAGAGAGAGAGAGAGTGTTGGGTACAGCAAGGAGTACCGAATGGGCACCGGTAAAAGGTGACACGTGGTAGGGCAAGGTGGTGTGGGGGACCACAGGCCACGTACTAGCTAGGCAACAAAATGGAACTGCCTGTAGGCTTTTGATGTCATGCTTTTCTTATGTAACAGACAATATCCCCTAACCCCTCAAAGCCACTCCCTCACCTCCTCAATTCCTAAAAAACAAATTTTCAATTCCCCCCATCATTCTTGGTTTCCTAGAGAGATATTATTATGTGTGTGTGAGAGAGTGTACCATTTGGTTTTTATTTTTTTTTAATTTTTAATTTTTTTTTTCATTTCTAATGCTAATTGTGAGATTTTACATCTCATTACCAAATGAGTTATGCTAAAAATCTTAAATAATCTATCAAAGTTTTTATCAAACCTCTTATATGGGTATGTGACTTATAGCATTTTGGAACGTGAGAGGTTTAGTAAAAAAATTTGATATATTATTTGGAATCCATAACATTTTTTTTATGAAATTATGTTATCAGATATGACAACTTGTCTATTGCTTGTGTTAATTTTTTTATACAAATATCATCTCATCTATTTATTTACAGTTGAATCTCTATAAAATATTAATTGTGAAATTTTACATCTCATTACCAAATGAGTTATGCTAAAAATCCTAAATAATCTATCAAAGTTTTTATCAAACCTCTTATATGGGTATGTGACTTATAGCATTTTGGAACGTGAGAGGTTTAGTAAAAAATTTGATATATTATTTGGAATCCATAACATTTTTTTTATGAAATTATGTTATCAGATATGACAACTTGTCTATTGCTTGTGTTAATTTTTTTATACAAATATCATCTCATCTATTTATTTACAGTTGAATCTCTATAAAATATATCTAATCGTTGATTGCAATGTTTATATTGGATAATTTGTCAAAACTTATGTCAAATTTGACTTACACATTTAAAAATTAACAACTTCAATGACAATTCTATTAAAGCACCAAATTGCTATAATATATATATGACAACTCAAATAGCAGCTACATTGGAGCTGCTCTTATATCCACCTATGAAGCATGACAAAATGAGTACTTCACCCGCCGATAAAATAAATATATATATATAAAAAAGTACTTCACCCGCATCATTTCCATGCTCACATTGGTCCCGTTTGGTAGAGGTGCAGGAAAGTGATTATAGCTTATAACTTATAACTGTGAGTATAAACTGATTTTTAACTTATAAATTAAGCTTCTCCCCCCCTCCCCACTCAAAGAATTAATTGATTTTTGACTTACAAAAAACTATAAGTTGTATTGTTAAGCTGAACCAAACACATCAAAATAGCTTAAATTAAGCTAAAAGCTGAAATAAACTGGAAATAAGCCCTACCAAACAGGGCCATTGTGGATGTGGACTAGATATTGTTGTTTAAGTTTGTGGGGCTGATTATATATTCTATTTTGATGATTTAATTTATTTATTTTACAAGTCTATATATATATATAAATTATTTACATAAAAAAATTAAATTATTGTGATAATCTTTAACCATTTGATTTAATCACTTAGAAAAAGAGAGAAAGAAGAAGAAGAAGAAATAGTCGGTTGAGTTTTACAATTATATGTATGTCTTCTATTTTTTTATGAGATTAAATCATTTGGTTATAATTATCAAATCAATTTAAGTTTTTTAATGAGTGATATAAAAACAAGGGCCTACAAAATAAACTAACTAAATTATTAAAATAAAACTTATAGTAAATTTTACAAATTGGAACAGAACAATTAAATTTAGATTTAGACCGGAGAAAATCACTCTTCGTATAGTTCGGCTGCCCAATAATGCTAAAAGTCTCTAAAGTAATCGAGGGTTGAAAAACTAATTGTTGGGCAATCTTCACTGTATTTAAAATGATTAAATTTTGTTGTGTACAAAACAACAACAAAAATAAAAGAAATAGAGAAAAAGGAGAGAATTTGTTTGATTACAAAAATCAAACTCGAAATAAAAATAAATAAATAAAACCACAGATTTTATTTTGTTACAAAAACAAAAATAAAATCTGATTAAATAAAGAAATAAAAAACAGAATAAAATTAAACAACTTACTTGGTTAATTTATTTGAATAACTTTTCTGATCAAGTCTAGTGTTTAACACTGTGTCCTTAAGACAGATTCGTCCTCTCCACGGTGCTTTCAGAATTTGGACGTCTATCTCCCAGGATGAAATGATCTTACTACAAACAATAGCAGCACTACAAATTGTTTGCCTTATGAACACATTAAGTGTTTACACTCTTTCTTTCAGAAATAAAATGCAGCAAGATGAAGAATATAATTAGCAGAGGATGGAGTACGAAAATTGGAATAAAATCCAAATGGGAGGCTATGGAGTACGAAAATTGGAATAAAATCCAAATGGGAGGCTAGTCTATTTATAGATGTAAAGGTGGCATTTGGTTTTGAATTGAACAGGTATGAAACCTGTTAGATTCAAATTTAAACAGATTTGAATCTGTTTATTCAAACAGATAGAAACGGGAAGGGCTCTGTTTGGATGAGCAATAAATCCAAAACAGTTTAATTCTGTTTGAAAACGGGAAGGGCCCTGTTTGGATGAACAAAAAATCCAAACCAATTTAATTTGAATTCTGGATTTTATTTTAATAAAAAATAAAATTAAATTCAAATGTTTTTGGCCCAAAAAAAATTAGAAGCCCAACCCAACCACGCACCCGCGCCCGCCGGACGGACGGCGGCGGCGGCGGCGCGCGCGCGTGTGGTGATTTTTGGGTCCAATGGGTCTAGCCCATAAATCACAACGCGGCATAGAACGCGTTACCACTTTGACCCGAGTAAATTGACACTCGGGGCCCACCTAAAAAATAGACCAAACTTGAGAAAAAATTCTGATTTTACCCAGAATTTTTCTACCATTCCCAACACTAAGCTCCATTATGAGATATTTTTGAACATCTCACGTTCGTTTTTTAAAAATGTAAAGCCACTCTAGTTTATAATTTGTGAGTGATTACTTATATTCTAAATCATTGGTAAAATATTATATTAAATAACCGAGTTGGCAATTAATATTTTCTGGCATTAAAAAAAAGAAGAAGAAAAGTATGTGTATCTTGTTAATCAAACTTGTAAAACATTAAAATGGATTATTCTACCAAGAAAAATATCCCAATTTCCATTAAGTGATGAAATATTTCAACAAAATTCTTCAAGGATTTCATGTTTGAATTATAAATTTATGGACGATAGTAGTGCTATGCAAAGAAAAAAATCATACAAAATTTCAATTCAGAATTATGTAGCAGCCTGAGGTCTTCTCATTTTAAAATCAAGAGCCCATAACAATGGTTTCTATTTTCAAGAATACGTTAGATCATTCCTTTGATAAATTATGTATAAAAATTTTATTTATAGATTATTTTCCTATGGAGAGAGAGAGAGAGAGATTACATTAAAATATTTCATCTCACTTTTATCTTTACTTATTTTTTGTATAAAAATTATATTTGTACATCATTTATGGAGGAAGGGATAAAAAAAGAGAAAAGATCAAAAGAAAATGAAATTAAAGAATTAAAATTTAAATATTTAATCTCTCTTTTATTTTGTCTTTTCCTTGATAAATCCAAGATTCAAAAAATGACTCCATTTTAGAACTTTAACTCAAATAGTTTCTTAGGTTGGCCTAAGTTACCGTCACACTCAATATTTTTTTCCTAAACAATTTCAACTCTCCAAAACCATTGTATTGCATTGGTCTTAGTAATAGCGGAATAAAATGTAGAAAAGCATGGAATTAAGGGTTAAATTGTCAATAATTAATTGTTTTGTTCAAGTAGTTGGGATTTAACAACTTTTAAGTGCACATTAATGAGGCTGCTTTGGATGTCCCTCAGGATGGGTGAGGTGGGGTCTTAGAGGCTTTGGGTAAATATTTCTATGTTTAAGTGGTTCATTAATTATTACTTAAAATTTACATAACAAGTGCAGCATTTTTCTATTTGAAAATTGATTTTTCATCTGATGAATCATCCTGGATTTTTTTAGCTCCAACGTACATAGATCCACACAATAAGCACCAACAAACACTATATGTATATGTATAAGACTGTCGTTTATTGTGTGCATTCATAAAAAAAATAAAAAATTAAAGGTACAATTTAGGGGTTATTTGGAGTGTCCTAAATAAGTGTATTTTTTGTCTTTTTGAACTAAAAAGTTAAGAAAAAAAAGATGAATGTTTGAGTTAACTTTTTGTCTTTTTACAAAAAAAATGTGTAATAAAAAATTGTATAAATAGAGTGTATAGTGGAAGAAATTTGATTGGTCGTACGGCTGCCCTGCGGCTGCCCCAGCATGTCTGCACAGAAAATAATTGCCTCATTCGGGCCAAAGTGTTTGGGCAATGATGGTCGGTCCGTGGGGGCCACTAAGGGTTCCGTTTTGATAATCCGAACCGTTCAATATATACAACTCGTCGAGTATTATATGCTAAAAAATCACGTTGATCGGATATCGATAGCTATATGATCGGATTAGTTTTTTTTCAACAGTTAACTATCACACCATCTGTTTTGTTTATATAAAACTGATTTGATCACATAGTTAATGATATCCGATCAATGTGATTTTTTACAGGCATATAGTACTCGACAAGTTCTATATATTTAACGGTTCGGATTATCAAAACAGAACTCTTAGTGGGCCCCCAAGGGCCCAACATTACCATCAAACTTTGTGGTTTTACATATGTAATTTTTTTTTTCCCCCCCAAAAAGTGTATGACCTGCCTTCCTACTAGGGTAGTACGGCTGACAGTGTAATTCAAACTTTTGTATTACAAAAATGTATAAAATATTTTTTTAATTATTTTTATTTGTGAATAGTAAGGACTTTTTTTGCTTTTTGTGTAATTTTTTGACTATTTGGATT